GAAAAAAATTCTAAAGTGGATTGTGGTGATGGTTGCACAAATCTTCTTAATATAATTGAATGATTAGAATGCATGATATATTTTAAATAAATAAATAAAATATAGTAAAGCTAAAAAAAAGTATAGCTTGAGAACATAATAGGATAATTTACGCTGTCATATAGGGTCATTATGAGCCAGAATCCATTCCAAGGTGTATTAGTCCGGATACTTTAGACAAACAAATCCACAGAAACTCATGTATAAGAGAGAGTTTTATATAAAGGTAAAGTGTGCATCAAGAAAGGATCCCAACCCAGTGTTGCCCATGCCCACAAGTCCAACATTAACCCATATGTCTGACACCAATCCACAAAGTCCTCCTCCATTAACCCATATGTCTGACACCAATCCACAGAGTCCTCCTGCATATCACAAAACACACTATGATGCCGACTGCAGGAGGAAAGCTGAGTCAGTAAATGTGTAAGCATCTCTGTACTGGCAGGGGTCTCAAGGCAGCTGCTCCAGCACCCAGGGCTGCATCAGGGTAGGTCCATGTGGTTTCTCCTCAGGGATGTCTTGCAGGAAGTGAGCCTTGCCAGCTGAAGCAGGGAACTGGCAAAGGCAGCTGCACCCTGATTTGACCATCAGAAAGCAAGAGACCTGAGAACTAGAAAGGTGAGGCTCACTGAGCCATTTATCTCTCCGCCCTTCAATTAACCCCACATGTGTTTATCGACCAGGTTGGCACAATAAACTAACTACCTCACAAGCCTATGGGTTTTCCTAGATTAAGGAGACTAGAAAGAAAAGTCTGGCAGTCTACTGCCAAAGATTAGCCAAAGACTACTTTATGGATCACAACTGAATTTGGTTTGATAAAGTGATGGAACATGAGCCTCCTGACTTAGAAAACACTCCGAATATAGTGACTCCAACAATGGACTCAATACACCAACAATCATGAAGACGTCACAAAACAGAGAAATAAATGTTCTGTTGCACATGGGCCACTGTTTGATGGCAAGTAAAACAACAATCTTTATTAGGGTGGCGAGAAGCAGGGCTCACGCCGTGTTGTGTGAAGGTGTTGTTGGGTAAACTTGGTGTCAGACTGCTAACCTCAAGGTGTGCACTTTGAACACATCAGCTGTTTCCGCAGGAAAAGAGATCGCTGCCCCTGTAAAGACGTGTGGCCTCAGGGACCTGTCCAGGATCGCCATGCGTTGGGATGGATACAAGAGCAATGGGCTGGGTCTTTTTCACCCATATTTTCATCTCAGAGGCAAGCGTGAGAAGGAGACCAATAGAAAGAGGGTCCCAGGTGAAAAGGAGTAATGATCACACAGTGGAAGTAATCGTAATGAAGTTTTATTCAACAGTAAACTGGGTCAGAATATGTAAATATTTCACATGGGTTATCTTATATAATCTTCACAAATGACCTTAGGAGGCAGGCCACCTAAGCCAAAAAGCAACAAATCCCCTGCCGTTGATTCCATTCTGTCTCACGGGGACTCTATAGGGTTTCTTTGCAGGAAAAGGTAGACTCCTTTTTCTTTTACAGAGTGGCTATGTTAAAGGTGCTTCGGCAAGGAGTAAAAATATTAATTAATTGTCTAGGTTGCTTAGTTTGAGAAGAATAAATCAGAGACCCAGAAATGAAAGGATTTAAGATCGTGGCTGTCAGAGACACCTCTCTCAAAGTCTGTTATTCTACTCTGACACATCAGGACCTCGTTATGGAGAGAAGGAAATTATTTACCATTATTTTAATTTATAACAACCTTTACCTATAAAGAAGGTTCGATCCACTCAAAGAAACTTTAGAATATCTACCAATTAATTGTCTATATCACTATATGTTGATCCCTAAATTGCTCACTTTGACTATCAAATTCACTACAATGTCCTATAACTCAAAAGTGATAAACTTGACAATCTTCTAAATTCGGGGAGAAATTTCTAAATTTTCAGAACACTACTAGGTTTAAATGCACAATATAAATTAATATGGGTTCCTTATTCAATCATAATTCCTATATCCTGGATTCTGTTTGAGTTTTTGTTTTGTCTTGTTTTTCATATTTAATGTCTGACAAATGATAAGAAGCTGCTAAGAAGGAAGCTGAACTTAAGGAAAGGTGTAATGCAGGAGCTTAAATGTGTGAAAAATAACAGAAAGGAGAGACAAGAATGCCCTTGGCTGAGATGACCACTAACAGAATATGCAGAGAGAGCCAAAGGGTGGGGTCAAACGTACCCAAGCCAGCATACAGAGTTCCCGCTGACTGCAAAATTCCTGATTAAACCCTGCCCCTGATATATAGCTGACCACTGCAGAAACAAATGTAAATTCTTTGAAGGCTGGGTTGATGGCTTCTCAGTAAATTGCTTGTGAGAGTGTTCTGTCTCCACTCTTATAGTCAACCAGAATGACAACATGCATACACAAACCATGGTTACCAAAAGCACCACATTTTATGCTGCAAATTAATTCTGCAAATTATATGGCTGCACAATTAGTGATTTGAGAGTTGTTGGGTTTTTATTTTTTAATCTTAGTTTTTTGAGAGGGTAGGAGCAATGGAGAAAAGGGTGGCTGGTATACCCCCAAAATGGTAAAATTATATTAGACTAAGAAATAAATACCATAAAGTACTTAAAATTTATATTTTTCATCAGGACAAAAATTAGAGCTTTACAGACAATATAGAGTTATCTATTAATAAAAACAGCCATTCGAGGAAAATAACGAATGTGGAGGTCAAATTCATCAACAAGAAGGTACTGTTTAAAGCTGATTTTTTTTCCATGTCCATGTTTCAAGAAATAATAAACTTAGAATTTGGTGACATATTCATTCAAAACTGTTATCCATCTGGTTATGACTCCGTGACACAACATTATAGACTTCAGTTCTGATGGGGGACACATGTAGCCTCTCAAACATCCCATTCTGGCAAACCCAGGGAAGTACACAGGTAGGTAAAGATAAGGATCCAAGGAGTACTACTTGTACGCTAACAGAAATCCTGCTTATTGTTTTACTTTTACCTACCACTAACATATTTAAATTCTAATTGCATCTTCAAGAGCACAGTTCTGTATTATTGGAATTGTCAGGGAGCCTTGACATTTGAGTCATCATTTCATTATGTCTATTTCTTATTCTAGTATACAAATTAAACAGAAACACAAGCCAGCTGAAGCATCTGTGGAGGTTGAGAATCTTAAGCGGTAACTCTTCACTCAATTTTTTTCCCTCAAATCTATAAAATATACCAATCAAATGACATTGATTATATATTCTAGGTCAGACACGTTGTCAAAAACACTAACTTCAATTCTAAGACCCAAAATGCCTCAAACCCTGATAGTCAAATACCATACATCTCTAAAAACTGACAGCTAGAACATTCTCTAAATTAAATACAATCTTTCCAGCTTTAAAGTTACTAAGAACATGAATAAAGAATACATTACTTATCAAATATCACCAATTCTAGAATACTCTGCAATGATTGTTGGCAATTATTGAATACATTATGATACATATATGAAAATACTATTAGAAACATGAGTGTGTGATCAAATAGGAATACTAAAACTTTGCTCAGACTAAAATATACCAATGTGCCAAATTGGACCTGAACATTTTTCTTTAGATGTTTTTGTATCATGGAACTTATATCATAGAAAATACCAAGTAATATTCCTAAATCACCTGATTCATGTCAATGAATATGCATCATTCTATTTTTCTCAAGTATTTCAGTTAAAATACTTTCATGGAACTTTAAAATTATAAAAATGAATCCACAATATAGCAACACTGTATAAAATCGTCAAATGTGCCTTTGGGTTTTGCTTTTGAGAGGCTCTTTGCTCATTTATTTAATTTATTATTGCAAGTACTCCAAAGTATGTATAGATTGTTCCTTCACGGAATTTTTCATTGTTTCTTCCATTCTTCTGTCCTTTAGCCCAGAGCAACCTATTTATTTCCAAAAGCCAGCCATTTCTTTAAAACTGCTTGGGGACAAGCTGAACAAGCTAAAAAAAAAACCATTTTATCCTGGTACCGAATACTGAAAGACAGAAAAAACACTCCTGGGAAACAAATGACCATACAGTCTTAAGCACATTTTGGCAATGAGCATTCATTTTCCCTTCGAACACTAAAAAAAATCACCAAATATAAATATCATCCTAACAGACTGATTATTTTACTTTTGTATTTTATTATTTACTTCTTTGTTGGTCTTTTTCATATACTACCTGTGGTAAAATGTCTTTTTTAACTGAAGTATTTGCTAGATATATTTATGGTGCCTTTTTCAGCACTTACTTAAAATGTATTAACCCAGATTTTCCCAGTAGACTCCAAAATTCTATAATAAAGGTAACTCAGTTGAAGATTGCATGTGTTATCCTGGAACAAGTCTCTTCCTCAAATCTAAACTTGTACTAAAAAATAGGTCTTGAGATACAGAGACACTTAATTTCCAACTGTAGAAGAATACATTATTCTGTATAGTAGGCAAAATACACAGTGTAAACCAGACATTATTAGGTTAGGAAATTGAGAAGTGAACATACTCAAAGAGCAGCTCGCTTGAAGCAATATTTATGTTAAGACAATGCGGCCAAGCCCCACAACGATGCAGGCCGAGTCTCGTAGTTTCTCTCCTAATGCGATTTCAATCAGTGGAAACATTCATGGGTGGAGAGTATCGGGTTTTCATGAGTCCTATCATTTTTCTAATTGCCGTAGTAGTATTAATAAATGTCTTCTTTTTATATGTTGAAATAAATTAATGGATGAGGCAGGCACTATGCAAAATGACTGGGAGTAAGGCCAAATCTTTTTACATACATCCAGGGACCAATAATTTTCTAAATGGTACTTTAAGCTCTCTTGCCTAAATAATTATAAGTATGCCAGCACATAATTTACTGAAAGAATTCTCCACTCTTCCAGTCCCCATCACCCATCTCAAGGCCGGGCCACTTACCTTGTCTTGAGTTTCAGTGCCAGAAGCCTCGAGCTTGGTCCTGATCACAAATGGGGTGGACAGTCGCAGCAGGACCCTTTCGAAGGTGGTGTTAATCTTTGGGGACACGACCTCGAAACAGTCCTCAAACTTGAGCACTTTGTGAATGTCGCATCGGAGCTGCTTCCTGAGCCCTTCCCCCAGCTGAAGGACCAGCATGTTGGGGTCGAACATCAAGTGGAACGGGAAGGCTCGGCAGAAGGTGTTGATACTAATTCTGAGGTCTGCAGGAACTTGCGAGGTTCCCAGTGGAAAGTTCTTGGTGATGGTAGAATTTTCGCACTCTTTGATAAGGAAAGTAAGGCAACTACAATTGCCTGGGTTCGAGCCATCCAAGCACAGCTTCTCGTTGGCAACCTGTTCTACTTCCACGTCCAGCCCATAGATCTTCTTCCCGGCAGCCTTAATCATGCCCAGCATGGCAAAGCCCACGACGTGGTGAGGATGGAAGTAGTGGAGCATGAGAGTACCTTCAGGGAGCTCTTTGCATAGGAACGAGGGGGACTCCAGGGTGGCCTGCTTTCCAAAAGAAGTTCTAATGTGTTCCAGCAAAGCATCAAAGCCATTAAAGAAGTCCTGCAAGGTGCCGCCTACAGCCCGAAGAACTCTCTCGTTCTCATGAAAGCATATATTAAAGAACTCCTCACCAAATCTTTCTTGAATGTCCTCAAACTTCAAACCTAGAGGCAAATGGGAAGCAAGTGTTAGTGAGGTGTAATAAAAATAATTGCTTTTCCAATTCATCTAAAGCTTATCAAATGAGGTAACTAGTGAGTGAAGCATGAGGGGCATCTCCTTCAGGCCCATAAATTCTCCATCTACCCCCTTCCCCTGAAAAGTTAATTCATTCCCTTTGAATCAGAGAAAGTAAGATTCAGTTCAACCTCGGAAACGATGCATCTGAAAAGATAATGAGCATGAACTTTTTAAGTGCTGCTGGTCCAGCTGTGCACGTTTCTTTGCAATGCCCTACTCCCCTTGTTGTAACTATATCTCACACATGACATCTTGTCTTGTTGACATGCTTTAAAATAACCTAGATGCCTCTACCTCCACATGGCATCCAGCCACAGTGCCACGTTACCTCTTATCGAACGCTTTCATGAAGAGGCAAAGACGAGCTGAAGCGGGAATCTGTGGTTCGTGTAAAGGGAAAGACATCTAGGAGGAATGTGGACGCTTCTGTCAGACCTCACAAAGACAGACACCGCGACAAACGGGGCAGAACTGTGGACTGGTTTGCATTCGCTCACACACAAGAGTGAAGACGGGCAAGAATGTCAACGGAATCGGACTCGATAGAGTTAGAGGCATTTACTGGGCATTCTTGGTACCTACCCAATCCTAGATACTCCGGTAAAAAGTACTACACCTGGCAGAAATAATTTAATAAACCAAAAAAGTACAGCATGTAATGTACTCAATACATTATCTGGTTACAGAAGAAGAGTCTACAGGTTAGATTTATTCATAAGGAGGATCTCAGGAAAAATATGAAAGAAATTTATACAACAGGTTTTTAAAAGTTGTACCGGTCTGGGAAACAATGAGTCCACATAAAACCTTTCTATTACTCCCCATTGACTTTGGTTGAAATCAGTACATGTCATTTACAGATTCATATTTTCTTATCAAAACCCAATGCCCTTGAGTTGATCCTAGTGACCCTGTAGGAAGGGGAGACCGCCTGCTCCACGGGCTTCCAGCGCTGTCATCTTTGTGGAAGCAGCCAGCCACAGCTTGCTCTTGCTGAGTGACTGGGGGGTTGAAACTGTTGACATTTTGGTTAGCAACCAAGCACTTCACCACAGTATCACCAGGGCTCCTTTGTCTTGTCTAGTCATGGCATTGGGGATTAGGTGTTGGGTTGCTCACCATAAGATCGGTGGTTCAAACTCGCAAGCCTCCAGTAAGAAGAAAATGAGGCTGTCGGCTCTGGTAAAGATTTTCAGTCCCATAAGTCCTATATAAGGCCTTTAGGACTCCTGGTGGCATAGAGGTTACCAGCTGGGCTGCTAACCACAAGGTCAGTAGATTGAAACCCAAGGCTTTCTACTCCAATAATCAGAAACCACGACCTAGGTCACTATGAGTCGGACTCTACTCAATGGCAGTGAGAGTGAGAGGAGTCGGAATCTAGGCAGTGAGTTTTAATGTGCTCCATACTATAAGAATGTCCTAAAAAACTAGGCACTAATAGGGAAAGATTACCTTCCTCAGCCCTAGTGTAGTGGTTTATGTGTTGGGCTGCTATCCACATGGTTGGCAGTCGAAACCACCACTAGCTCCCCAGTAGAAAGACTGGGCTCTCTACTCCTGTAAACAGTTACACTCTAGGAAGCCCACAGGCAGCCGCGATGAGTTAGCATTGACTTGATGACAGTGAGTTTTATTTTGGTCGCTTTTTGCATTGTTTTTTAGAACGCAGCCATCCAGGCTCTCCACAGCTTGGTTTTCTGTTCAACCTTTAAATTTCCCTTGAGGTTTTCCCACCCAAAAGTAGAGGAATAGGTCACACAGTCGATAGTTTTATACAAAATTAGAATCAAAATATGTCAACTATTTTCTTTCATAGTTAGAACTGAGACTACAAATTGTGATAGCCATCATTGTTGTGCTAGCCAGAGGTCACTTTGACAAAGAAAGTCTTAAAATCAATATGAAATAAAAAGAAGTGGAAAAGATCCCTATATCAAGAAGTTTTTCACATTAATTTTTGTTTCATAGATTTGATGTTCAAGGAAAGCTGAGAAAATCACCTATTAAGATAAAAACATCACCAGTCATCGCACATTGTCATTTCACAAAATTGTCCTCAACAAATGTTGTGTGCTCTAACAATGATGCCTGCCAGAATTGGTGATAATCACATTTGTCTGTACAATCCCTAGGGTGGAGCAGAGTAAATAATACAGATGATACTCTAGGCTCCAACCACCCTGCTTCTCTTCAAAGGCTTCAATTAAAGTGCTCTCATAATTACTTAAGCTAGTACATATCTTTATCTTACTTAATCTTATTTATTTTTCCTTGAGTCTGACAGTTAACCATTTACTTCTTTTCCCTTCAGTCTGGTAGTTAATTACCTGGTATAACTCATTCTCCTTCCTTGACTTAGAACAGCCAAACTCCCTTGGTTTGATTTCTCTGTCTCTGTCTCTGTCTGTCTGTCTCTGTCTCTGTCTCTGTCTCTCTCTCTCTCTCTCTCTTTCTCTCTCCCTCCCTCCCTCCCTCTTTTCTGAAAATTCATTCTTACTTCATTCACTAAAATTTCTTTGTATGCCAAGTCCTTATGTCACATATGCTGCTATTAAATTGCCTACTGACTGATATTAAAAACAAAAATAAGAAGTATAAAAATCCCTCAAATAAGACTATCCCTACTAACCTGTAAAATCTCATGTGCCACTAAAAATATTCTATAAATTGCTTCTCAACTCTGAAGAATTGTGTCTTCAAAAGACATTATGGTCTCAATGAAAGGAAGACAGAGAATTGTTTCTAACTTGCATTTTTCATAACACTGAAAATTCCATTTGGGTTATTAAATAAAGAGCACAGTTCTAAAGATAATACAATAAGCTCGTGTTCTACTTCTAATACCAGAATACATAAGAAGCACCCAGGAAGTAACAAGTAAAAAGATTCACGAGGGACAACACAAGAAAAATAAGTGAACATCATTCTATCAAATAGAAATTCTGATTGCTCTAAAACGCGCTTCTGCACTTTAACATTGCAATGAATGTTAAAAATGATGACTCACCAAGATGCTAAAGTGACTTAAATGTATCCATAAAAAAGCTGAGTCATTTGAACTACTGCATTCAGATATTATGCATAGTAGTGAACAACCATATTCAATTAATCAACAAAGACTTGGAGTCCATCAATTGTTAGACTCCTTAAAATCAGAAAAGAAGAAAAATAGTCTTGGAGTTGGAAAACAATATTTAAAAAGCTCGCTCCAACTTTGTGTATTTGAGTCAACAGCCCAGATTTCCATTTAAAAACGTATCTCCAAATTCAGAGAGCAAAGAGAAAGCAGTTCAGCTCAGACAATTGATGTGGTTCTCACAACCCCGGGTCCCACCTACGATTGATGCAAACCCCCAGCTTACAGTAAATCACTTGACACATATAGACAATACTCATCTCCTCATATCACAAAATGCTGTGACAGGTCGACATCTGGGCCTATAAGAATACATTTCATCCAGAGGCAAAATGCATTTTAAAAAAAAAACCTTTTCATTGACACCTAAGTCAAAATTTGGCAATTAAAACTGCTGTTAATTCACCTCATTAAAAAAATCAATAGCTACTTGTTACCATTCCTTAGCTGTACATGAAATAGACTGCTCCATCATGACATGCATGTATTGTCCCTCGGCTCAGATAGGGCGTTTTTGAAGAGAAGGTTCTTATCCTCTCTATGGATGCATACTTGTCACTAGCACAATCTCTGGTCCATAGAGATGAAGCCTTCATTCATGAAAACTAAGCGTTTACCTAAGTAATTTTCATTGGATAAATAAAACTAAGTTTCTAAGAGTGTGGCTGTGCCTGGATCCACAGGCACATTCTTTCATGTCACTCTCATGGGGCTCACAGAACACTTACAGTTAAAATGCAGTATGGCTGGGCCACACCAGAGTCACAAAAGAGAACCTATAGAGGTGTGTAAGAAAGAATAATGTTTGAACAGGGGCTTGAAAGAAAAGACGAGTACTCTAGTCTATGGATAGAAATGGAATAGGGATGAATCAGGGAAGTGGAGAGGCCTCACAGGTTTATGGGAGAGGACGTAGTAATTATAGAATGGCTGGGGAGCAGGGGTGGGATGGATTGTTAATTAACCAGTAATATTGAAGCAGCAGACACTAACCAGAGAGGTGTTGCGATGATTCGAAAAATTATTTTGTCCTGAATTAGACAGTCTTGATAAAAAAAAAATCCAAGCTGTATAAACTATTTGCATACATCACTTTATTTCATTCTCTCAAGTTCCTAGAAAGTAGTTGTTTTTATTGTCCTCAACTTACAGGTAAGACTTTTAAGGAAATGTCTCAAGTTCACACAATTGTAGTTGGCAAAACCACTCTTAAAATGAACTCGGCTAAAAGGCACCTTGTGTAATAAGCCTGGTATCAAAAGAGTAAAAGCTGCACCTGCAAAATAAACCATGTATGTTTTGCTCATTGTTGTAACATTATTGCCTAACATCTGGCATGTAGTGGATCCTGAATAAATACTGGCTGCAGAGTGAATGAATTTTTGCATCACTGAAGTCAATACAAAGTGTTGCAAGTAGTCCTTGTTATACATTGACACAACAAGGTCAAGTAAGAAGGACAGAACCCCAGCTATGAGATTTAGCTGGTCACTGCAGACCTATGCCAGACCAAGTTCACTGATAGACTGGGGCCAAAGACTGATTGTAATGGGTTGAAGAGTTTATGACAAGTAAAGGAATACATTGCCAACTGGAGCAATCGTATTCACTAAAGGCTCTAATTAGTTGTTTTATAAAATTGTCCAAGTTTGACGATTCCCCAATGGCACAGAGATTGTCATTGGCTGATAACAGAAAAGTGAGCGATTTAATTCGCACCAATCACTCGGCCAGAAAAAGATGCAGCCGTCTACTTCCCAAATGATCTCCAGACTTGGAAACCCT